GGTCTTGGAACATGGCAGCCAGAAATGCCTGAAGAGTTCACAGAAACTGCAGGCACCTGTTAAAAGCACAAGTATATGGATCTTTTTGTTTTAGAATAAAAATGGCCGGTTAACAAACATCCTGAAGAGTCAGCCACCTGCATTCTTCCTCCAAAGAATTACAGATTCTTAGCTCTTGGGCTCTGAGATGTAATTACAGTATAAGGAGGTTTGGGAGAGCTGAAAAGTCACCATAGCAACCTCCTGGCAAAAATCTTCACTCATCCAACATAAAGTAAAATTTATTTTTATCTGAATGGCCTTAGTGAGCCTGAATGTGTTCTGTGTTCTGGCTCTCTGCTTCATTTCATTGTATTCCTCAGACATGGTCTTTTCCTGCTCTAAGTCCTAAAGGCCATCTTCTAAATCTTCTAAATGAAAGTTTTGACTAGAAATGGGTGCAGGATGCTGACTGTTCAATCGGAGTCTGCCTCTGAATTAAGAGAGAGAGTCCCTCTCGTGGCGTTCCAGACCCTTTGCAATCAGCTCCAGTGAAGCTGATGAACAACCTGTGCCTAATAATTTTAGGCATGGATGATGATGGCATAAATGCCACTGGCTATCAGGTGTGGCTTTTCTCCTTGCAGGAAGGACATTTTGCTGGATGTGTGTTGGGAAGCCTCATATTTAAGCCTCATTCTCCATGGTCTGAACAAGGTCCTTGCCCTGAAGTGGGACAAGGACACTTTTTCCTTAAAGCAATGCTACTGCAGCTGGTAAATCCCAAACTCCTCCTTTACCTAAAACCAGGGTGGGTTTGTTTTTGTTTTTTTTGGTGGTTTTTTTTTGTTTGTTTGTTTGTTTGTTTTGGTGGTGGTGGTGTTTTTTTTTTTTTTGGTTTTTTTTTCCCCTTAAATTATCTTGGCACAGCACATCTCATTCCACTGACTTACAGAGGGTTTGGGCTTTCACATCCCAGAAATTTGGTAACACTGTACAGTGAAAAATAAACTCATATTAGGACAGTTCTAGGTGATAGTCAATGTCAACTAGTGTAGAAGAGTGTATTGAAAACCAGTATATACAATTTTTATATGTCTGTACATAGGTTTTGGATTGGATATTAGGGAAAATTTTTTCACTGCAGGGGTTGTCAGAAACCAGAAGGGGCTGCTCAGGACAGTGGTGGAATCACCATCCCTGGAGTTCTTAAAAAAATGTGTGAATGTGGCACTTGGAGACGTGGATTAGTGATGAACTAGGCAGTGCAGGGTTAACAGCTGGACTTGTCTTTGAGGTCTTTTCCAACCTTAAAAACTCCAACTTCTATGATTCTTGGATATCCTCCAGGCATCTGGTGAGAATGAAAAGGTGGCTAAAAGCTTTCATCCCTTAAGTCTGTTTTTCCTATTGATAAGATTGTTTATGCCAATATTATTTCAGTAATGTTTCAAAACAGAAACCTGAATCATATTGAAGCAGTTTATATCTTCATTAAGAAAGGGGTTTTTTTTTTAGGACCACTAAAATGCAACTTTTCTCTTGCCTCGAGACTTAATAATTATACAACTGAAAATGGAAATTGTTCTGAGAAAGAACATCAAGAGATCTTTGGGGTGGTGGTATCGATTTTACAAATACACAGTGAAATCCTGTTGCTAATTTTAACAGCCTACTTCAGCTAGGAAAGGAAAAATACCAGAAGATGTAGCAAATGTTAAGAGGAAGTTCTGCAGAGTGAACCCAGAGGATTGCTCAGAGAGGAAATGACTCTGGCAGTTGCTAAGTAAAGGCAGCTGCCTATTTACAGAGGAATTCAAAGAGTTAAAGGAGAAATCCCCAAACAAAATATCCACAGCAGAGTGTGGATGGCATGAGGATGCACTAAGAATAAATGTGTCTGAATGAAACCACAGAATTGCCTGAGGTTTGCCATGAGGGGCAGGGGTAAAACAGCCCCAGCCATGGGCAGGAATCAGAGACCACAACCCCTCCAGCCCCAGCAGGCCCTGGTGATGTGGGCACTGCTGTGCCCTGGTCTGGGTGAAGGAATCCCTGGGGCAGCCAGGACATATCACCTGTGTTAGACAGTGAGCTTCTACTCTAAACCAACCTACAAGTGCCAACATCACAGCAGAAGATGGAGGAGAAGAAGGAGAAAGGCTGGACACACCCAGATTCCTCCATCTTGCCCCCTTGAACCCCCACTCTAGAACCCCAAAAATCTATTTTTCACCCCGTGGTAAATTCACTATCCTTCTACTTAAACTGTTGTGCCTTGCAGATCTTCATCTAAGGTTGGTCATTTGCTCCATGGGTCATAATCAAAACCGCAGGTGTCTTGGGCTCTGTGCCAGGGTCTCTGAGCCCCTGGGAGGGGTCTCGGCAGTCCAGGACAGCCAGAGGGATGTCCTGAGTTCCGACAGAGACAAAAGCCGAGTCCCATGACCAACCCTTGAAATGGTTCTGGGGGAGAGGGGGGAGCGGGGTTCTTCTGGCAGTTTCTAACCGGGGGTGGTCCCTCTTAGCCCGGCTCGGAGGGGAGGCGGTTTGGGTGGGTTTGGGTGCTGGATTTCCGCTGCTCAGAGGGGAGGCAGTTTGGGTGGGTTTGGGTGGTGGATTTCCACTGCTCGGGGAGACCGCGCTGCGGGAGGCGGCGGCGGCCACGGACAGCACTGTCTCCGGCTCCAGTACTCGAGATTCTTTCCGGCGACAGCACTGGGCGTAGAAAGGGTAAATAGTGTACAGAGTGTAAAAAGAGTAAGAAAGTGTACAAAGTGTAAAAAGCCCCGGCGCTTCCCAAGTCCCTGCGACGGTCTCGTTCACATTTCTGGGCTGCAGTGCCGCTTTTGACGCGCAGGGGGCGCCCGCGAGGCGTCCGAGTGGCCGCGCAGGCGCACTCGGGGCCGCAGTGCCGTTCCTGGCCTGCAGTGCCGCGCGCTGACACCAGGCGGCGGCAGCGACCCGAGCGCTGAGCCCTGCAGCGACACGAAACGCGCGGAGCGGCTCCCGCTGCCTGCACAGAAATCGGGTTTTTTTCCTCCCGTTTTCAAGCCCTTTATTGTTTCATTTATATAATTTATATGTACAGAAGTTGCGTTTGTATTTTCAAGCCCATATGTATCTTTATTTGTAGGACCAAAACAAAAATGTAACCCAGAGACATAGGTTAAAACCTGTTCTGTTATCTCCCTTTCTATTTTCTAAAGCCCACTTGAAGGGATCTTTCTTACCCCATATTTATTTCCTTAAAGTTTCTATAAAAATATAACAGAATTGTGGCTAAGTGTATTCTTTAAAATCAGAGAGCTGAGTTTTACCACCTGGGCTTCTTAGCATAAGCAAATAACAGATGTGAAAGTACTCTGCAGGAAGAAAGCATGACATGAAACAAACATTTATTTAAAAGGACTGTACAGACAAATTAAACTCACACTGTCACTCCTATGAGGCACAGGAATGAAATACTTAAAACACAGAAGCCAGTGAAAACACCAGATATTGCTAGAATACCTAAATACTAAAATGAAAATATATGCTGGAGGAATTAGGAAACTGTAAAATAAAAGAATAAAGCACTTTTTAATGTATTTAAAGTGCTAATGAAGTCCTAATTTCTTGAATAGTATGCTATTTAAAGTAACACATCAATGTCTACTCTTTCAAATTTAGATTATGTAAATTGAAGCCACTGTCAGGTTCAGTCAGGGTCCTGCTTATAAAGCTAAGGTTGAATTCAGGAAGTGCAAGTATTTAAATTTGCCTTACATTTTCTCTGTAGTTAATGTGTCCTTGGCACTGAAGTTTGGACAACTGATCCACCCCAGCTTGGGTGTGAAAATTTCTGTAGCAAAGCATTTAGATGCAGTACAGTGTTTGCATCCTTTTACTTATGAGCTTAGGGTTGATGGCAGGGTGAAAGTCTTGGGATTTTGGTTTTTTTCTGTTTGGTTGCAGAACAACAGAACTATCCTTTGAGGCAAGTGATGAACAAAGACCCTGGAAACCATCTTTACCAAGAGAATCCAGTTCTTTTGTTGTTGCATGGATACCCCTTTTAAAAACAGAACGACAAAGACAGGGTTAAACCAGACTTCAGTAATATTAAAGTCTCCTAAGCTTTGAGGAGGGTCTCATTGTGGCTACTCAGACAATTTGACCCAAATAAGAATAAATTTAAGTGAAGTGGAGACGTACCCACAGAAACTTCAGGTACAAACGAAGAAGCCATTGTTGCTCCATGAAGCAAAAATGCAGCAGACTTGTGTTGAGCTGTACTTCAGACAGCTTCCTCTTCTGTCTGAATACCAAGAAATCAATATTTCATAATTATTCCTCCAGTCTCTTGAGAGAGTTGCCTGGGAGAAAAGAGCCTGGGGCTGTCATGAGAAGAGTTCTTCAGTTAAACTTCTGTGATTGTTCCGTGAGAGAAAAGAGAACTCCTTCCCTATGAAAGACACTGCTTCCCTCCCTGCCCCCAGCCCCATAGACCCCTAATGCATAACACATATTTTACCTCCTGAAATGGCTGGAATCATAGAATAGCTCAAGTATGAAGAGATCCATAACGATCATCAGGTCCAACTGCCTAGCATTAAACTGTATGGCTGAGAGTGAAATCCAGGTGATGCTCCAACCCTGACAGGCTTGGTGCCTTGGCCACTTCCCTGGGTCACTGGGCCAGTGACCAACCCCTCTCTCAGAGAAGAACCTTCTCCTGGTGTCCAATCTGAGCTTCCCTCAATGCAGCTTCATTCTATCTCCTCATGTCCTGTTGCTGGTCATCAGAGGGGGATCAGCACCTCCTCCTCCCCTGGAGGAAGCTGTAGGCTGTGATGAGGGCACCCCTCAGCCCCTCTTTTCTCCAAACTGAACAAGCCAAGTGTCCTCAGTTGCTCCTCAGAGGTTTTGTCCTTGAGACCTCCTGCAGTCCTGGTCACACAGGTGACTCCAGAGTAACAGTCTGATGTCCTTCCTGCACTGAGGCACCCCAAACTGCCCCCAGTGCCCCAGGCCCCACCAGTGCAGAGCAGAGTGAGACAATCAGCTGGCAATGCTGTGCTGCACGTACCTCAGGTTGTGGTTGGCCCTTCTGGCAGCCAGGGCACCCTGCTGACTTATCTCCAGTTACACTCACCCTCAGCAATGATGCTATTCGTATGGCACAATATCCTTTGTAAAGGATGTAAAAATTGTAAATACTAGTACAATTGATGCAAACACAGTGTGTCAGATTCACTTTAAAAAAACCAAAAACCAAACTCTAACCTTGTAAACACGAGAGAACATGAAACTAGTTTAAAAAAGTAAAAGTACAAAACTGTTGTACTAACTTAGTAAATGGTGCATCCTTAAGTATACTTCAGTTCAGAGATCTCCCAAGAAAAAAAGAACCTGGCAAAGTAACAGTAAAGTGAGAACAACCATGACTAACCCTACCTATTTCAAAACTGTAAGTACAAATCAATCCTGCTATTCACACTACTTCATTGCAGACCATTCACCCACTTCATTGTCACTACTTCTTAAGTTTATGTACAACTACCATCAAAGTATGCTGCTCTCCTGTATGCACTTTGGGGAAGCCCACATTCTGTCTTTTAACTCTGTGCAGTTTCCCTTCAACTGCATAGGAATTGCTCTGAACAGGGCACACAGCATGAGACCACCCTGACATTTGAAACAGTAAAATCCAGTATTTGTGCCACAAAACATGCATAACACACTATTGCCATTTGGAGCATGGAGACTTTCTTCCATTATTGCTATCTCAGAGACCAAATCCCTTTAGTTCAGCTGGCAGAATCTGCTTTTCACATAGTTTCAGGGGTAGATAGTTCACATTGTGTCTGCTGTTGACAGATGTTGATTTGTAACATTAAACATTAAAACATTAAAGATGTTGATTGTAGCATTAAAAGATATTGACTATGTAACATTAAAATGGGGAAATATCTCCTGAACCTGGTTCAAGTTTTAGGACTATGTTCAGTAAATCACCCATGTACTTCGTGGCAGACTTAGGAAATTAATGGCCACGTATGTGATTTGGCCAGCAAAATTGCATCATGTGGATTTATTACAGTTGCCAGCATTTGGCAAAGTTCTTGGAGCAGAGACTTGGGGCTTCCCTGTTCTTCCTGTCTAACAAGCCAAATTCCCAATATAACCACTCTAACATAATATAGAGAGAAACCTGGGCTAAAGAGAGAAGAGTGTGATCAAGCAGTTCCTGCATCCCAGAGTTAGTGAAAAGAATATTTAACACTTGAAATCAATTTAGGCTACAAAGGTGGTCACAAAACTGGGATTAGAGATGAGTAAATTTCAGGTGCCAGTTCTGTAAGTGGATCATTGCCATCCTCCCCACTGCAAGAACTGTTGTTAAATTACATGAAACAAAGGGAAGACATACAGGGAGTCATCAACTCCAGATGCTTTAGTCAGGGTTCTTTTGGCACACAGGGAACAAGAAAACAAATTGGCCTGAAGTAAAACTTATTTGAAAATAACCTATTAAAAGACAGAAAATTAGAAAGTTTTGATTGAGGGAGGACAGTGACACCAAAGCTTGTTGGTTCTGGTGAAATACATAATTTTTAGTTGACACTGCTCCTCATGCATGTTCCTGAACTTTCCTATGCTCCAGTGGAGGACATGTCTGCCAGATTTTGGCTGTAGAAACCAGGAACAGAGGACATGCAGAATGGCTGATGTGCAGTCTGTGCACACAGAGATCTGGGATATATGATGCATGATTCCTATAGAACCACAGTGCATTGGTCAGCCATAAAGCCTAGGAGGACCACTAATACAGTTCACTTCAGCCTTGTTCTTAAGTCAGTCAGTCTTTTGACTACTGAAAAGAATAACCTGTTAAGATGTTAAAGCATGACAAATTACATCATTTTTAGAAATTCATACACAGCCAGCACCTTTTCAAATTTTAAGTCAAGTTTGAGGGAATGGTACAATCAGCTTCAGTAAATCAAAACCCATGTGTGTCCTTAGTGCACTGATTTTCTGTATAACAAGTCTCCTTTTCCCTGAACATTTTCTGTTTAAAAAGAGTTGCATTGGATACCCAAACCTACCCAGTCTTATGAGATTGGAGAACAAATTGTTCTTCAGTGAAACAAACGGACAGTCTGCTCTTTCAGCACTGCAAACAGTCCCCTGTTATCAGGAGAAAACAGAATAATCTTTTAGTAACATCTGTTTTTTAAAAAGGGAACATAAAAGCATTTGTGGTAATCACATTTGATCAAGAGAAATAGCCTGACATTTAGGATACTTGCACAAAGAATTCCAGTTTGTTTAGGAGTACAAAAGATGGAGCAATTGAAATATTAAACTGTAGCACCAGTAATATTTACTTTGCCAAAACCAAATCCTAAAGACTGGAAGGAACTTAGAGCAGGATCATTGTGCTTACATTGCATTTAAATAGAAAACAATGAGACAGTCATACTTGAGTCTGCAATTCAGCAAAGTCTGGGCAAATTTGCCATTCTACTGGAAGAGTACTGGGACAGGAGCTGGTCACAATCTTCTGGATTTCATTCATCCTGTTTCCTCTTGGGCTTTTTGGGGTTCCGAGAGCGGCTCTTGGCTTTGCACAGGGGACAAATGGGCGCGTTCCGGTGGATTTGCTGGTGACACGACAAACACGCCTGAAATGCAATTGCAGCCTCTGGTTACCAACACCAAAGTGGCCTTGGCACACAGGTTATTTGTTGGGGAAGATGAGACAGGAATGCCTTATAAATAGGATTGCCTGGCAAAAGATTTTGAAAATATAGAAACTATAAGCGAGATTGAAATGAAAGCAAGCTTTGAGATACCAAGCCTTAGTTACTGAACAACTGGAGAACAATGGTGTGGCCAGGTGAAGGTGATCTCCTTTTGATGAAACAATACCCTCTGCTTGCAGACAGCTCCAAGGGTCAGAGCAGACCCTGCCAGCTTGGCAGAAGGGGCCCAAAGAGGAGTTTTTAGGGTTTAAAATGTAACACAGTATGGTAATGTAATGATTCTTATAGGCTGTATGGAAATGCTATAGGATTTGTATCTTGTACTACATTGGTTAGTGAGAATCAGAATATTCAACACAGAAGAAGCTTTATTGTATTGTAATGGGAACCTCGCTCTCTTACTCTTTTACTCTCTTACTCTCTTACTCTCTTACGCTTTTTACTCTCTTACCTTTTTTACTCCCTCACGCTCTTACTCTCTCACCCTCTCATCCTCTCTACCCCTCTCTCCCCTCGGGCCTGCTCCAGCTGTGGCCCAGCAGCTGTGGCCCAGCCCTGCACCCAGGCCCTTTGCAATAAACCACAAGTTCCTGACCTGGCTTCAGAGATCTCTCATCTCCGTGTGTCCTGACTGTCCTACCCCCTGATGCTCCTACAGTTGTTGAGTTCCAGTACAGACAAAAACAAGGCAGACTGCTGCTGTATTCTATACTACCTAGGTTATGTGGATTGTAATTTCAGGCTTACTGAAAAACAGAGCATCTCATTGAATTAAAACTGCATTTCTGCAGACATGTGGCTCACACATGTACCAGTAACTTTAAATTCTATTTTGTATTAAAGGTTACAATGATGTTTTAAAGGTGTTTACCTGCCTGATAGCTCACTGAGTCAGAGAAGTTACAGTGATGGCCAACTGCAGTGTCACAGAGTTGGAGGCAGGAGCAGGTGATTGGATGAATTCCACATATTTAACACAGGTACAGAACTCTGCCCTTTTGCTCTAGACTAAGCCCTGTAATTTATGTCTGACTGAAGCCTATTACTTGCAGAATGGCTTTTCAATTGCCTAGCTACAGATAGTAAGTATATTACTTTGGGGTGTACCTACATCAGTTTGCCTTCTTAGTGACTCTGGAACCTGGGTGGGAGGAATACCACAATGTAACTACTTAACTCTTCTCACTACATAAGGAGCTGAGTAAAACTGTCACTGAAGTGCCTGTGGTTATGTTACATTAATCCACATGTTACTCTTGAAGATCCCAAGTGCAGAAGCAATTGCTTTTCCTGGTAATTTACACCATTGGTAATTTCCCACATAAAATATGTGCACTGTTTTTAATATGACTCCATATGGCATAAAATAAGAGCCACTACTTTTTCTTTTGCCAAGTTTTTTTTCCTCTTTCTTACATGCCTTGCTCCCATGTGAAACACAAGAGGAATGGGAATTGCTTACATCTCTGCTGAGGGTGACTTTTAAATCCTAAAAGATTCTTATCCTTAACCCTTGATGACTGGTGCTACTACTTTGGTCTACTGCTTGCTCTTGTTTTGAACCTCTGCAAGGAAAATCACCATCAGGACGTGTAATTTTTCCTTTTCACAAACATCAACCACCTTCTGAACATAATGCATTCCAATGACAAAAGAGAAAACCCAGAACATTCCATCTGCTGACCTTCATTGGAGGTGGCTGCTGTCTGAAAGTTGCTGTCTGTCTGGTGTCTTGCTTCCTGGCCACCTGCAGCTGTTGGGCAGCTGCTGCAGCTGCAGCCAGAGACTCTGGGATGGGAGGCTCCTGTGGCTCTGTCTGCCATTCTGCTTTCTGCTTTTCAAAGTAGCTAGACAAAAGAATGACAAACAAAAAAAAAAAAAATGTAACCACCTTCTGCAGTATTTCATTAGTCTGTAAAGGATGTTCGGTGTTAAAATACAGTGGATCACGTTTCCCTATCGTGTTCCTCCACTAGAGTCAAACTGCCAAATTGCCTACACATTGACTGGTTCATAAATAGAATATGTGGTGTTTCCTTCTGCATTTCTACACTTCAGCCAGATTCCAGACTGGATGTAAATCTAGTAAGATGAAAAACAGACAACACGTATAGAAGAAAAATAGGCAACAGCTTCAGATGCACCTCTGTCAAACAGTTTTTCTATTTTTTTCTGTTAAAATTAATAACTTTTGCACACAACAGATTAATAAACAGATCAATACATTATTTGTAGTGTCAAGGTGTTTGGAATGTAAAACAACATTTCTATAGAAATACGAGGGAAATCTTGAAAACTGTATGTGTGTGTAAATATATATATAAAATATATATTAATTGTATATAATAATAATAATTGCATGTAATAATATATATTAATTGTATATAACAATATAATAATTGTACTTATACTGTATAGTATTGTAAAAGTATATATATTATTGTGCTGGGCAATAAGAGCAGTACATGCTTATTAAAACATCCCTTGCATTTAAAACTGGTCTATTAAGCAAAGGACACTGTTCTTTGAATAGTAGCTAATTCTGCCACTCTGCCCTGCCTAGGTTATATGTAAAAATGAGACTGTGATTTATTATCCAAATCCATTCCACATCTCAGGGAAACTTGTTGACAGTCACAGGTATTTGGCTAAAAGCCACTGCCATGTGCAGGCAGCAAAAAGTAAAACTCTGACTAGAAGCAGCATAACCCACCTGAAGAATACCTGGTTTGTATCCCTCTCATGTATTGCCTCCTACTATTGCTTGCTAAAGAAGTAATTTTCAAGGAAAAATAAAAAGATAGAAAAAGCAACATAAAGTATAAAATCTAAAAGGCCAAAAACCACTCTTGAATGTTTGCATGTGGTATGTAGAGTTTGCAGTTTGGAATAACCAAAATTTAACTTGAAACAAATTCAGACCGAATGTTATCAAACACATGTCCTCCACATCCCTTTTTTGTTAACTTCTGTTTTTCATGCTTACCTCTAGGGTTGTTTTTTTCCACCTACCAACAAAATTAAGATGAGAAAATAACCAGTAGAATTGAAAGAAAGCACAGAGCCAGATAATGTTTGCTTTGGAGACTTACTCGAGGGACAGTTTCTCTTCCTCCTCACACAGGTCCGGCAGCCTCTGCAGACCCAGGGTCATCCTCAAGGCATCCACGTGCTCCTTGAGGGGCTTGTACTCCTCGTGCAGCCGGCGAGTCGACTCCAGGAGCTTGTTCAGATCGTTCTCAGACTGCTTGATGGTGTTCTCCATCTGAAACAGCAGGTTGGGCAGGCATTTAAAGAACTGTTCCTCTCTGACCGAGCAGCAGATTGGACCAGAAAGAGGAGATTTTTCTCACTCAAGTTGGAAGAGATTTGAGACAATGCAATAGTAAAAGCAAAGACTTAAGGTGTTGGGAGGATGAAAGATGGGCAAAGGAGAAGCAACAGAAAGTGACATATGAGATGCATTTTCATTTTTAAAAAGTGTACTCCACCTATTGGACCTTCTGAACAACAGAAAAAGCAGAGAGACAGGCTACAAATAAAGCTGGCAAGTGAGGAGCTACGGAAGACTCTCAAGAGACACTAAAAAAGAGCTTAAAGTAGCATAAACTAATTTTCTGTGTTTCTAAGATACCTGAACACTGACTGGCAGAAGTTAACAAACAATCTAAGGAAAGGTTTCTGCTTCTCTTATGCAGCAAGTGGGAAAAGCAGCAGAGAAAAAGACAATCTGACTGCACAAAGAGAGGAGGATGGAACAGAGGCTGAGGTTATGCAGCTGGACAGGGGAACAGACATTTGAAGCCATAAATAAATGCAGTCTGCACAGCCAGTACATAGCTTGTACTTTTTCACTTGTTGGAGCCTTTTTCTTCCAGTGCAACACAGATACCTTCAGAGCTAAAACGTCCATGTAAATGCTCTAATATGACATTAAAAATGTATTTAAAAATATATTCCCAATTCAGCCCCTCTAATTGGCTAATCTTCCCTGTTTATAAATTGTTTTTTTCTCTTTTTTGTATTAATTCCCTTCAAGCTGGTGCTTTTTGATGTTTGGTGATTCCACTCTGGGATGAAGGTCAGCTCTTACTATGAATTTAACAAACACTCTGTATTTTCTCAAAATCTCCTAGTCCCACCTAGCTGCCAGAGTTTCTGTGTGCTAAATGAGAACAGACTAACAGGAAGAACTGTTGTTTTCTATGGGACAGCTGGTGTGGTATCACTGTTACTCTGGTAAAGTCACAGCCACAACAGGGTTAGTTATCTTATCTATCCTCTCAGTGCAACAGCTTATTATGCCAGCATTATAAAATATCCTGCCCTACAAAGAGAAATAACAATTATCCTGAGGTATATTTGCTTTGCGCTCTGTGTAGGATCCCAGGATGGTGTTGTAAAGTGCACATTATTGCACCAGTGATGCTTCACTCATGTGCACAGTTCCACAAGCTGGGGGATGATTCATGTGCAGCTGTGTCTGAGTCAGAGTGTCTGAGCTGGGCTGGCACTCACCACGTTAATGTCAGCGTGGATCAGTCTCAGCTCCTCCACGTGAGCCATCTTCTCCTGCAGCAGCAGGTCCATTTCTTGTTTGTATTCTTTCAGGTGCCTCTCCTCAGACTCCAGGGCTTCAAATTCTGCTTTCAGTCTTGCCTTTATTTTTTCCATCTGCAAAGTCTTATTCCTGAATCCCAGGGACAATTAAAACAGAGAGAGACAACAGTAAGTCACTGACACATATTTGTGTGGGGTGTCAGTTTATATGGGATTAGATAGACAAACGAAGGCAATAGCAGCAATAGACAAGAATGAGACTAAATGAATCTGAGAGAAGGTGAATACAAGGAGAATACTGAATTCTAATGCCAGCTCTTTTGCTGAGCTTTTCAGTGGTAAGAGAATCCTTGTACAGAAATATGAAATTAATAGAATGTTGTCAGGTTTTGACAGAGCGTGGCAGAAAGCAGGGTCAGTCACTTGGACAATTCATTATGGCTACATATTCCAGGCCTCTGTCTGTAGAATACATGAAATGCAGATTAAAATAAAGTCTGCTAAATCTATCAAAGGTGAATCTGTAAACATAAGGAAATCTCATGTTTATTTTGAAGGAAATTCTTCACAGAATGCAAGCTTCTAATGAATAAATAGGTTTATTTGATCAGATTTTGTTAAAGGTGACTCAAAATGGACATCAATGTTGCAAGTAGGACTGGCTTTTCGACACTGATTTTTTTTTTATTTAAAATACACTCAAGCAACTTGTTTGATACTTCACTGTACACTAAAGCTAAGCATCACCTTTGCTCTACCTTATACCACAAAATAATAGCAAAAATCCATCAAGTGCAGTTAATACTTCACCTTTGAATGTGTGATTAGAAAACTGAATGCACTGTAAATTTCCAAATACAGGATACCACTCACTGAAAAATTACTTTAAGTGTTACAGTAATTGGACCACACACTGTAGTAGGCCATACTTGGATCTGTTTTCTAAAACAGAGCCTGTGTACCTGTTGAGCACAAAATCATTGTTCTTACACTGTCGCATCTCTTTCTACAAATAGTTTGGGGATACTAGAGAGGCAAATATTTTGGCTTGATCTTTGTTCACCTCTGTGGTATTGTGTGAAGGCTGAGGCCCATACTCTGCTGCCAAATTCACTTGTTCCATGAATAAAGTGTTCCTTAGAGATGCTGTAACCAGCCACAAGTGCCTGTGATCACCTGAGGGCTGGGATTCCTCTCTGCCAGCCCTCTCTGGCTGTCATGTCCCAAACAGTTATGCCTCTGGGGTTCACAGTCAGCATGCCTTCCACCCCCGAGCTGCATTCAAAACCTCTGTTCTCTCTAAGGTGTTTTGGCTCCAACTAAACAGACAGCTCAGGCCTAATGCTGAAAATCGGTGCCCCAAACCAAGGAGTGGAAACACCCTGCCGAAAGTCATGGAAAAGGTTCCCGATGCAGGAACGTGCTGCACCCTGCCTGGCTTTCAATGAGCCACCTCTCCCACAGCATCCTGCAGCTCACCCTACAAAGGATACTATAACAAATTCCCGGTGCTCTGCACGGCATGAACCGCAGACCTCGGGCCTTGTGGCAGGAGGGCATGGATGAAAAAGCCCCGGTGTGCCCGGCGTGTCCCCATCCCCGGTGTGCCCGGCGTGTCCCCATCCCCGGTGTGCCTGGCGTGTCCCCACTCCCCGAGCAGGCAGGGACATCTCGGCGGGGCTCCCTCGGTCGCTCCCCGCCTTTGCCCGAAGGAGAGGGTGGGCAGGGGCAGAGAGAGGAGGGCACAGAAGCCGCTGAGGCTCAGCCGCTCCCCTCTCCTCCCGCACGGATCCATCGCTCCCCGGCGGGCCTTGCCCTACCGCCGCCCTCTGCGGTGCACGGATGGACGGACGGATGGACAGATGGGTGGATGGATGGACAGATGTCTGTCCTGCACCCCGGTGCCGGCAGCGCTGCCCAGCCCTGTCCTGCCCGAGGGCACGTCCACCTTTGGATATTTGGGTGTCAGACTCTACTGTCCTTGCCATCCCCGATTCCTTCTCAGCCCGACAAGGCTCCTGCCCGGGAGCGAGTGGGGCAAAAATAACACATTCAGTGCCTCATGAATATGAAATACTAACTCAAAGGACTTAAAAACAAACAAACAAGCAGCGAAGCCCCTGCACAGCCCGACACCACTCCCCCGCCGCCGCTCGGTCCTTCCCCCCGCGCACTCCGCCTTCTCCCCGTGCCATCACTCGGCGCTGCGCTCTGCAAATGCTCGACCATTGCCGCCCTGCACACGCATTCCAGCCGCGATTCCCAGCAGCAGATGCTCCCTCCCTGCTCAGAAAAATGTATTTCGAGCTCTCGTCGTGAAGCCAGCGGTAGTTTTCTTTCCCTCAGCAGCACAATAGCTACTTTCGGATGGATGCAACTCCTCGGCTCCCCCGAGGAAAAAGCTGCTTCGCGTCAGCGATGGGGCACAAAGCAAACATACCTGATCTCCTTGATGCTCTCGAGTTTGCACATTATTTCTTGCTCATCTGCCATGCTTTTTACTCCCGGTTTGCACCTCCCGTGAAAGGCGCAAAATGCCCGGGGGGGGGAAAAAAAACCGAAACCAAACCAAAACAAAAAAACCATACAATAGACACAATGTAGTCACCCCCAGCTCGCATATGGGCTCTGAGCCTGTGCGGCAGAACTCTAGTGGGAGCTGTGGGACTTCGAGTCCGGGCTCCTATTGCTGCCCAGGCAGAGAGGTTGGAAAACGACTACAACACCCACAAGGCAGAGCAAAGCTCGCCTGCCCTTCTTCCTGCAAGTACATTTTAAATCAATTTGTCACACCTCATTATGCCAGAGGTTGTTACGAGTGCAAAAAGAGCAGGAGGCTTCCTTCTGAGATCTGTGCAATGTTTAGTATTTCGTTAAAATATGCACTAATAGACTGTTGATGGGTTCGTGATTTTGATTAAAATCTTTGACAAAAAGGGATGCTGTAGGCATTACTACTACAATGCTGTTTTCTCCTGGATGCTCTCAGTTTTCTACTGAATGTTCTAATTGCTCACCAAATCCAATCTTTGCAAGTTTCTAGGACTGATAATGAATAAGCTGCATTTGTGAATAGAAGAGGTTGTCACTACAGGACACGAAATAACATGACACGCATGCACTGCTGTTCTCAAGGTAAAAAGGGGGAAGTTTATTTTCTGACTCCAACATTTATAGAATTCCAAAAGTGACAGTGGATTGGAGGGTGACAGTGCCACCTCTCCAATGACACTGGACAAACCAAGAGTCCATCAAATTTCTCCTCCTCCATAAAAGAATGCAAAACAATAAGGTATTTACAGAAAGTGTGTGAGAAAGTTCATTACAAGAATTTAAACATCAGAAGGCTTAGAAAATCTTAAAAAATCATGGTGACATGTGAATAGATGTTTTATTTACTTTCTCCATTATTTAAGGACTTTTCCCTATATTGTTGTGTTCTTCAAATTAAAAAAAGGTAAATGAAGGAAAACAGTGATAGCACCAGCATTCTCTTCATCACCCTACAGCTTTTGTAAAGAAATTAGAACATAAAAGGTCTTATCCTCATGTAATCTGAGTCAATTGCAAACTCTCTCTGCCTTAAAAATTGAAGGTTGTAGGATTGAGCCCTAAGTGAGCTGTGTGCTCAGAGGGGAGAGGCTTCTTCGATGCATGATTTAAATAGATGAACTAATTGGTTTGAGGGGGTAGAAGACAAGTTAGCTACAGTCAGCCAGTGAATCTTGTTGCCAAGACAGTGAGGGAGGGAGAGCAGGCAGGGTGAGGACAAGAGGGAGAGAAGGAAAATGCCCTCAAGCAGGAGTGATGAGAATCCCAGCCTATTTTTGCAGTGCTTATCCTATTTTTTGATTCTTGTTTTTACAGGCTAATCTAAAAGGTTGAAGGCTGAAAATGAAAATGCAAGTTCAATTTGTTCCTTTACTCTGCTTTGAATGACACTAAGAAAACCACTTCACAAACTGTTGTAAATCAGTTGGAAGTTCTTGGGAAGTAAACCCACCCACAAGCCTTAGCAGTTATTTTTCCTCTCCATGTTTTAAAAAAGGAGAGAAAATATTACATCTTCACATTTCAAAGCACTTCAAAGTAGTCAAAAAGTTTGACACTTGCAGTCCCAGCACATACAAATTGGTAGCATTCAACTTGTGCTTCATGCCTTTGGTCAAGTGTTTTAATGTCTGTGTTTCAATTTTTCTCCTAGACAAAGTGGGTCTGACAGTTCTTTATATGATCTGAAACCACCACACTGGTATGCATTATTTATTCTGGTGCTATTTATGAACTTTGATACATTTTGGATGTAAATAATGATCAGTTTTTTCCGGCATATGAACTGGATTTTTTTCAAAGAAAGCTAAGGTACTCATCTGAAAGAATACTTCAGCTGATCCTGAAAAATTCAACCTTCTTGTTGTTTGATCCTTTTTAAACCAAGAGCCAACAGGCAAATAGATTTCAAAACAAGTTGCAGAATTATGCAGAATGAAACCAAGCCTAAAATACTCCCCTACCTCATTAAGCACAGACTGAATTTTTATGGAAAAATCCCCAACTTCTTCCATTTAACAGTCTAACATCAATCCATACACTTTAGCATTATGACAACAAATCTAGTTCAGAACAATTCCAACAGGAAAAATTTTTTCTCCCTAGATAATTATCCCAGCTACAGCAATTAATTCTAAAAGTCTGGATGTAGTGATGCAATGTAGGACCCTTATAACTGAACTATTAAATATTAATATTCTAACTGAATTTTTAAAAAAGCGCAACATGTTTTATGAAATAAGTAGCATTTAAAGAAATATTAGAGATTAAAGAGTAGTGGAGAAGAGCCCCCAGTAAAACACACAACAGAACTAAACTTGGGTTAATATACTGCTGGATTAGGTACAAATAACCACCATAAGCAGAATGTGCAGCAATATTGTAAAACCTAAATATCAGAAAATGGATGAGTCAAAGTGGTGCATTCCAGGTCATGAAATTTGCTTTAAACTACTGAGTTTCTGAACTGGAAATAGATTCTTTCTATATCCCACTGGGGTTTTGAGCTTTCAAAACATACTCTGCACATTTTACAGATTTTTTTCCTATGAGTGGGTCACCCCAATTGCACTGGCCATTTCATATGTTAAGGGAAAGCTGGTATTGGTTTCAGAATGCTTTGGGAATCTGAAGGTACAGCGACACTGAAACTGATAGAAATAACTACATGCTAGCCCTGAGATCTTCAAAACATCTAGTCCTTAAATATCAACGTTTTACACAAAGCCTAAAGTATTTGCAAATTTTATTAATCCTGTGCCGGAGCATCCTGCCTAGGTAAAGGTTTAAGTGCTTACACATGTTAATCTTGGCCCATCCCAAAGCTATGCCTAAATATACCTGCGTTTGGTCATGTCCTTTATTTCATCCTCCAACCCCGTGACCTGCAGAACTGGGAGAACACGATATTGCAATAAAATAGCATCCATCTGTCCCCCCGAGCCTCCTCCTGCTGTTTCAGCAGGGATGGGATGGCCGGAGGGGACAGCGCCAGGGGACATCTCCCTTTTCCCGTTCCCCTCCGGAGCCCGACCGTACAGCCACCCCGTGGCTCGGCCCCGCCATTCGGTATTCCCCAGCGGTCAGCTGGTGCTGCCCGTGCCCGTTACCGTTCCTCGTCCCCATTCCCGTTCCCGTTCCCGATTCTCTGTCCCCGTACCCGCTCCCTGTCCTCATCTCCATCCCCGTTCCCGTTCCCATCCCCGTCTCCGTTACCGTTCCCGTTCCCCATCCCGATCCCCGTCCTGATCCCGATCCCGGTCCCGTTCCCGTTCCCCGTTCCCATTCCTGTTCCCGTTCCCCGTTCCCGTTCCCGCCTGCAGCGCCCCCTGCCTTCAGGAGGAGGAGGAGGGGAGGCCGGCGCGCGCCGCCGCGCGCGAGGCTGCGCGTGCGCGGGCGTCGGGAGCGCGCGGGGCGCCCCGCGGAGCCGCGCGCCTGCGGCAGCGGGGGCGCGCGCGTTGCCGGGCGACGGCGGCCGGGCGGCGGCGGCGCGGGCCCGGTGCGGCGCGGGCGGCGATGAGGCGGCGGCAGCGGCCCCCGCGCTCCCGTCGGCGCTGAACTCCGCGCCCGCACTTCCCCCATCCCTCCCCATCCCGTCCCGTCCTGGCTCTGCTCCTCCACGCCCCCTCATCTCCCCTCGCTCCGGCCAGCCCTTCCCCCTCCATGCGGCGGGAGCGGCCGGAGTGGGGCCCGTGCCGCGGCCGCGCCGAGCCCCGCCGTCCTTCACCTCTTCGCCGCCAGACCCCGCAGGGAGCCGCGGACGGTGTCCATAGCGACAGCAGCGGGTGAGGCCCCGGCCGGGCGCGGGGGTGCCGCGGGGGCTCGGAGCGGGGGAGCGGCGGCGCCCGGCGGAGCGCTCCCCTCCCCCGGGGTCCGCGCGGCGGGGGGAGCGGGGCTGCGGGGCGCCCCCTGCCGCCCGTCGGGCGCGGCCCGGGCTCGGCGGCAGCCGCGGCGCGGCCTTGGGCCGCCGTCCGACCGCGCTCCGCTAGCGGGGACGGACAGGCTGCTCAGCGCCGCTGCTCGGGGGTGCCCCTGCCGCTGCCCGGGGCTGCTCCCGCCGCTGCCCGGGGTGCCCCTGCCGCCCTTCCCGCACCGGAGCGGCGGCCGCCTGGCGTGGCGCGTCCCTCCCGCTGCGGGGCCGCTGCCCTCGGTCGCTGCCGCCCGGCCCGCAGCAGCCGCACGCTGGGCTCGGGACGCGAGGCCTTGGCGGGGACCCCTGGCAGCATCCTCGCCCAGGCTGCGGCACCGCGCTCGGAGCAGGGCAGGTGGAGCGGCCTGGGCACTGGGGGACGGAGCCGGGAAATCCCCCGGCATTTAGTCATTGAAAACACCAAGGAGAGATTGCACAGGCTGCGTTAGCACGCTGTTTGGGAAGGTGTTCCCTGTCTGAACAAAAGAACAATGCAGGAAACTTGCATTAAGGAAGAAAGGTGGTGAAATAAGGAAATTACTTTTGTAGAGGATACCTGATGATTGCCACTTGCATCCTTCCATTTTGCTTTATAATGCACCTGTGAATAAGGAACTGCTCGCTCATGCAGTATGCTTGAGGTTTGAGATAATTTTTAAATCCGTTCATTTGAAAATGTTTTTTTCATAGCTGTCTGCTTTTCCAATTGTCATTAAAGAATTTGGAAATTATATTTCACAGGAGCCGTTTACTTCACAAGCTAGCAAAACAGTAAAATTGCAGCAAACGCTACAGTGAGTTTTCTGATAGATGTGAATCTAAATTGTTGGGGTTTATTAGGACACGTCTGATATTGTTTTACTTTTTTGTTTTAGTCTTGCAGTGTGTTGCAGTGATTAGCATGTGTTGCCATAAATGGGGAGTAAGAATAGGAGGCATATCAAAATGCTGGTCATTTATGAACTTCCATTATGCAGATCATTAGTTCTGAGTGGTTGGGAATATGCAGCATTCCAGGTCCATCCTATTCCTTGTATGTTTGTTTATTGAAACAGAAGAGCCTGTCAAGTAGTCATTTTGTATAGGAAGGATCCTTTGTTGATAAGATGTATCTTCTGCTTGCCAAATGTTGTAACTGAACTATGGTATGTATGACTGGAAGGTATATTTCACTAATTTGGCTAGTGTTACTGATAAAATTATTTTTGCCTCTTAATGGAAAAAAGGGGTTAGTGGAAATTTCAAGGTCATCGTCAAATATAGAGTAATTTAGCTGCCTTTGGAATATGTCATTTCTTCTCCAATGTCACATGTTTTCTGTATATCAGTCCTGTCAGTGTTGACATTTTCTGGATCTGTTTGCCTTCTAAAATAATCTAATGTTTAGCAAGTTTTAATAGAAGCAATCCATAAAGCTTCCTAAGTCAATTTCATTTGAACGATTGCAATAAAAGACATTTTAAAAAAGAAAATCTAACTGCTAAATCCAAACCTAACCCAAACTCACTATTTGGAAAAAATGACAAGAAAATGGGTTAAGATGGATGAAGGGATACCAATTACTTTTTATGCTGATGAACTAGTAAGAAAGTAAATTCTTACTGTCAACAGCTGTAAATTAGGTAAGTTCTGGCTTTCTGTTCTTTGATCTTTCTGGAAACCTTTTCCAATGCAAATTATTCCATTGTAGACATCTGCTGGTTTTGACTTTCCTTGCCACTGTACAGTTTGCAACTGAAATGTTATTTTCTTGAACACTTATAATTCTACTATAAATCTGTGAATTAGTAGAAGTAAAACAAATTGCTTCTATCACTTGAACTTTTTTAGTGGTTGAATCAAGAGCAGAAGCGATGGGGCTTTTTGGGAATAAGGAAGGCAGCATCTAAATTCAGGTATGAAAGTAGGGCTTGGAAAGATGAAGAAAATAAATTTTTGAATTTTGAAGAAATTCACAGGTGTTGCCACATTTGAAATTAGTTTGATATATTGATGTGTCCATCTCATAATGTGAAAAAAAAAAATTAAAAAACCCAAATGGCTGTAATGCTACACATACCTGAGAATGCTGTCCTTGTTTGCATCAAGTAATCTGCTAGGCATAAAGGGCTTTGAAGAGCCATGTTGTCATGGCTGGACAACTATATACTTTTTAATATAGCAACTTTTTGTGTGTGTAATTTTATTGTAAAAGGCTGATTTTTATGCATTGCAAATGAAAAGCTTGTTTGAGCCATAATAGTGGTATTTTTAAAATACTTTGCCATCTGTTTATGTGGAGTGGGTTTAGTTTCTTGTGAACTGTCCCTTTTTGTTGATAAGCTATATTTTATATGATGTGTACATGGTATCACAGATATTTCACCTGGAAATAAGAATACCATGACCACCTTTACAGATCCAGGCTGTCTGGTGCCACAACATGTAGAATTGCATTAGATATATTTCAGAGTTAGGAAACACATTTGCAAGTGCAGAGCTGAGCAGTGTAACGTCTCCTGAGATGTAGTTTCATTCTTCTGAGGTGACCAATTTATTCATGGCTATAATAAGAAAAAAATCTTCATTAGCTGGCAATTTTGACTCAAAAATATATGTTCTATATTTAAATAAGTACTTCAGCTAAGTATCTTTGACTTGTAAAGGTACCTATTGTAATTTTCTTTCATGGGTTATTTTTGACATGGCTTGCTAGAAAGCAGATTGATTCACCATGTCAAAATAAAACCTAGGCTTTACATCATTTGTTGTAGACCTCTTTTAGAATTTCATCAGAAAATCATTGTACAGTAGAACTAAAGCATTTTACAAATCCCAGCATAGGCCAAGGTGCTTGTTTGTTACACAGTCAGAATTTAAGTGCCCCTTTCTGCATTTGTTCCATCTGGAGAGAGACCCTCATCAAGATGAATATCTGCTCTCATTAGCTGACACAACTTCTAGTTTTAATTGAATGCTGTAACAGAGCAGAGTATGAACATTAGGTTAAAGCCACAGGTTTAGACTCCTATCTTTAGTGAAGATATCCACAAGAAATGTGCACTCCTTTATTGAGCATACAGACACCTCAGCCAAATCACATAAAGTCAAAACTAAGTCTGACAATTTCAACCTAAAACCAGTTGTAATTGCCCCCCTGAGGCAATGCTTTTTATTTTTTTGTAAGATCAAATACTAGTTTCCATCTCTTTGCCAAGTCTCTGCCTTTTCTGATTTCTAGGTTTAAATACATTGATTTAAAATACAAACAAAAACTCCACCCCCTAAAACAAAATAATCCATCAGACCAGAAAACCTTCCTCCCTCATGTCTTGTCCATGGGTAGATCTCCCTTTAGAAAGGGAGTGATGAACTTGCTGGAGCATAGGGATTGCCATTTTCATTTTCAAAAGCAGAGTGGTTGGCTTTTTGTCTTGTCTCCTTGATGATGGCTTTCCAGCTTCTTCACCTTGGAAATGAGCAGTGTTGCCATCATATGAATAAAGGAATCTTAGCAAAAAAGAGTTAGTTTGTGTTAGACTTTCTTCAGGAGATCACTTAGTCCAACACCATCCTTATTGCAGACTTAATTAGCCATGTACTGACTTTGTTTTTGCAAAAGCAAGGGAACTGAAGTGAAAATATAAAGCCACAAGATGCCTTCAAGCTCCTCTTGCTGCTCTTTGATACTTACTGAGTGAGGTGTCTTTCTCTGCTTCAGACTTTTTTTTTGGCAGTTTCTAAAGTGATTTTTTTTTAGTTTATCAGAAAGCTTCTGTCCTAACAGGTGAGTCCATCCTGCCTCCTGGATGGCATAGCATGTGAGGGTCCATCCAGTATATTGAGGTCTTTAGAAACAACACCCTTTGTTTTTCAGGTTTCTCAGAGGCTGCTTTTGGATGAGAATTTTGGTTAAAGGAGCATTTGGTTTAGTCTGCCAGAGTAGTATTCTAAATATTCAATTACAAATTGAATTGGTATAAGTTAAGATGCATCACATCCTTGATGTGTCTTTGACTTAGCTGCAATCACAACTTTTTTTTTCCCTTCACAGAGCAATAATGAGTCATTTATATCTGCAGAGTAGGTAGTACCAAATGGCCTCCTATCAGAATGTGGATTAGGAGAACTAGTGTATTCCTTTGGTCATAGATCCAAATAAATCATCTCAGTTTAAAGGAACTGCCCACAAATAAGCTTTAGGAGTTACATGTCTGCTCTCATTTTATGTCATGTTGTCTGCTGAAGTGTAAACATTGCCTTAGTAGGGACAGCAGATCTTTTGAGTGGCAATAATGCTAGCTGTAGCTCCTTAAGATTATTAGAAAGAGAAAATTGGTGAGGAAAAGGTACTATATATAATTGTTAGAACACCTGTTTTTAAATGTGTGTTTACTGTATAATTATTTGCTTTTTTTTTCTGCCTTAGGAAATAATGATTAAATACCTAATGCAAAAGAAATACTCCATTTTCTTCCCTTCAGAAAGCCTGTACTTTATACTTGTTTTGTGCTCAGCACTACCTGTTCTTTCTAGGTTGGGTTAACTCCAAACAGGAATCATGTAATTTAAGAAAGAACTAAAATGCTGCTTCCTCTGTTTAGAATTCCAGCTGTGTCTATCCTGTCCTTTTGAATTCATACTTATGACAAAATTAAAAAAGTTTGAGGCAAGGTGCTTAAATTTTATACTACTTTTGCATTTCTCTTCAGTTCTCACTTGATTTATAGTTCACAGAATTATAGAATATCCTGAGTTGGAAGGAAGCTGCAAGAACCATCAAAGTCCAGCTGCTGGCCCTTCACCCAGGAACCCCACCATGTGCCTGAGAGCGCTGAGCTCTGAGGCTTGGCACCATGCCCACTGCACTGGCAGCCTGTTCCAGTGCCCAGCCAC